ACTGAATCCTAAAGGAAAATTATATTGCAGTGCCTGGATCAACCACAATCGATTCCTTCTTCAAATCAAGGAAGTTGAACCTAGGATTTGAACTCATGATTGCATGACAGACGCATTAACCTTCTGAGCCATGGTCTGAGCTGCTGGAGTCTCCCTGCCAGATACTGGGCCCTTATTAGATATGGAAGCTAGACACCTCAACTACAGCAGTGGATGGGTTGCAGGGAAGCTCTGTTTGTACAGCAGACACTTTATCCAGTAAGCCACAAGCAGAGCCTCTCATGAGAGATGCCAAAATAAGGGCTTTATCAGGAATAGACATAGTGTTGACATTCTATGCCTATTGTCATTCTGACTTTTTGCATCAAAATCCTAAAGGAAAAGGCATGCTGGCAGAGAATTAAAATACCATAAGGTTTCTGGAATAGAAAAAGACACACTGGCAAGGGAATGAAAATCCCAGCAAGGCCTCTGGCGTTCAAAAAGAGAAACACATTTTTATGGGAATTTTAAACGGAAAAAAACATTGGGTTACTACAACATGTCACATCTGGCTTAAGCTTTGCAGGGCTAATGTTTGACTTACTATACCACAGCCACAATTTCTTGCAAGACTGTTAAAAACCAGTGCCTTATTTGATATATAAACGGGTGAGTGGTATCTTTCAATAAAATGTGTGCATTGGTACGTGTCCCCCATTGCAGTGGCCACTTCTCCATGCTCTTTGCACCAATTCCCAAATAGTGGCAAAGCATGTTTCATTGCATTTACCACTGTATTGTCTTTTTGGAAGCCAACACAAACAGTCCTGGCTGTGGCTCAGTGGGTAAATGCACCCATGGTACAGTCATGAGGTTGTGGGTTCAAACCCCATTTGCGTCATGCTTTGCGCAAATTGTTATTGAACTGGGTACCCCAGGTGCTCAGAGAGAAGAGTTGGGCTTGGAAATTGAGGGATGTAGCATAGGGGTGATGAAATCAAGTGGATTGTAAGGAGTTTCAGTAACACAGTGCTGGGAAGCATGGCCAGGCTGTAATTGGGGACTTCACTGGCAGGGAAAATTGTGGAGGAGGTGTGGATGGTAAGGAAAATTGTAGGAGGAGGGTGTGGAATCAGGAGGCAAGCAGCAACTGTGGGGTGTTGGTTAAAGAAAGGTGGACACTGGGGGATGGCTGCCATGGGTATCAAGGATAGCAGGTGTGCGGTGGTGGTACCGAGAGATTATTAAGATGTATTGGAGTCATCTAAGTAGATGTCTGCACCAAAAATGTAGGGCCTTTTCACACTATGGTGTTGTGGTTGATGCAAAACAATGCCTTAAAGATGGATGTGTGTTGCAGCACACAAAGGGTGCATGCACTATTTTTTTGCACTGAATTGCAAAGCATGCCCATCTCAATGTATGTTAGGGTTCAGAATAAATGGCACTGCACTGCACCAACGCATGCAATGTTCATTGTTGAGTGCCGCAGTAAAATGCAAAATAATGCCCGGGGGGGGGGGATCAGGTAGGCTGGGTGCATCAGTAGTCGACGAATGGCCACCGTCTGGGTAGAGTATAGGAAATTACGGACACCGGCACTCCAAAGTAGAATAACGTATTTTATTGACGTGTCATGCAACAATACACATTTTGCAACATTTCGGGGTCACACATGATCCCCTTCATCAGGCAGAACAAGTGAGAACAAGTACCTCAGTAAGAACATTTAGTAACATGGACAGGAGAAAGAGTGAATGCCTACAAGTGTGATGACGACACTGCACTTGTATTCCATTGAGAACTAAAAGGTTGGGGGGTGGGGCAGAAGTGGGGTTGGGAGGGGTTGCGATCTGAACATGTGTCATGTTACACCTTGAATATGGGTGCAACATGAAACATGGTTAAATAGGTAAACTTAGGGGTTTACCTATAACTCATGAGTTAAACCTTAAAAATGCATTTAAGTACCCTATTAGGCTTGGTTCACACCTAGGCGATTGAGCTGTTGAGAGGGGGGGTTTTTGTGTGATTTTGCTTTGAAAACTGCACAATTTTAAATGCATAGAGATGTCTATGTGAGCAAAACTGCACGATAACCATCTGAAAATAACTCCTGCACCTTTTTGCGTGGCAGGCGATTTCGCCCGCGCAATGCAATGTGTGAACAGCCTCCATTGACTTGAATGCAAATCTGTGTTTTGCACGATATCGGTCCATGGTTCAGTGTGTGTTGTACGATATCGGTCCATGGTTCAGTGTGTGTTGTAAAGTAGCCACCACTCCAAGCTCGCTCCTGTTATAGACTACAATCTCACTACAAATCAGTAAACTAAACATGAAATTATAGTCCATCATGGGAGCGAGCTTGGAGCGGAGGCTACTTAACAACACACACAGGGACCATGGGGAACAAAAGTAGCCACCCCCCAGAAGGAAGGACAGCGTCAGCACCAATTCAGAGATGATTTGAGGATGTACTGCTGAGTGATGCACAAACGCTACACATTAAAAAATGCTCACTATCAGGTTTTCTGCAATTCCACTACAAATAGGTGCCTAGTGGGCTTCATATGACCTACAGTCCTGTTTTTTTGTTATTTTATTAATGCTGGCAGGATGTTTGGCTAAAATGAGTTACCTCAGCGCCTTCCTACTCGCTACTGTTATTTTCTAGCACCATTAATGTGTGAACTTTACACTTGAAACCTGCTGATATAAGTACTATAATCAGTAGGTCACAATGCAACAAAGAGAAGAGAAAAAAGACAGGAATTTGCTATACTATTCTATTGAACATTTTACTTTCTGCATAAAAAGGATGACACTGAAAAACATATCACATCTGTCTTAGCTGTTTCTGTTTTTGCCTATATGGTTCACACTGTTTTATGTTTTATAGTGAACTAGTAAAAGTGTGCCCATTTGTTGTGTGAGCAATGTACTGAAGTGTTTGTCGCTGCAGTGTCATTGAGTGTGTGTCCACGTAGTGGCAATGGCTAAAAAAAATTGCCTCCGAGCAGTGGTGCTGAGTGGGGTCAAATGCGTCTGAGCAGTCACAGGAAGTGAGGTTGTGTGCTTTTGAGCAGTGATGGCAAGGGGCGGTCGTATATGTTGGAGCAGTAGCAGTGAGGATGGAATAGTGGAGGAGTCCGGTGACGTTGATGTCCTTGACGGCTAACGAAGGGAAGGGGAGAGGAGTCCGGTGACGTCGATGTCCGTGACGTCACCGTACTCCTCCCCCCTTCCCTTCGTTAGCCGACGTAGCCACTTCGGCAGCAGCTGCTGCGGCAGTGACCACCCCCTCGATCTCCAACACCACCGATTCAACCACCAGTACCACAGCATCCAGCTCAACCGTTCAAACAGGTATTACAGTAAAAAAAGAGAAGGGCACCAACCCAGGTGCAGATGGTTCTTTATTGTTTAAAAATAGCAAAATAGAGTGCAAAGGTATTCACAATGGTAGATCGATTAGAAGCATAAACGAGTAGTTCAAGGATACATCAGTTTACAAACTTCAATCAGCCTGTGTGCCGTCCATATTGGCATATAGAACCATCTGCACTAGGGTGGGCGCCCTTCTCTTTCATTTTGTCTTCCAGTTATACAGTTCCCTTGGCTGTATAATAATGGCTTATAATTAATCGAAATTAAAAAAATTTTGATTAATCAAACACAAAAATTTGAATCATTACCAGCCCTAATATACAGGTGAAACTCGAATAATTAGAATATCGTGCAAAAGTAATTGCAGTAAGTGCTGCAAAAGGGGCCCAAACCAAGTACTGAGTACATATACAAAGCAAAGTCCTGCTCCATTAGCCTGCTTATATTTATATAAATAAATATTGTAATACAACCCCAATTCCAAAAAAGTTGGGACGCCTTGTAAAATCTACATAAAAACAGAATGCAATGATCTGCAAATCTCATAAACCCAGCAGTTAGAATCCTAGATCAGGCAACAATGGGCCAACATTCCTCTCCCAAAACTCCAGCAACTGGTCTCCTCAGTTCCCAGACGTTTACAGAGTGTTGCTAAAAGAAGAGGGGATGCTACACCGTGGTAAACCTTGCCCTGTCCCAACTTTTTTGAGATATGTTGCTGCCATCAATTTCAAATGTACCTTATTTTTTTCTTAAAATGGTAAATGTTCTCCGTTTAAACAATTGATATGTTTTCTATGTTCTATTGTGAATAAAATATGGGTTTGTAATAGTTACAAACCATTGCATTATGTTTTTATGTAGATTTTAGAGTGTTCCAACTTTTTTGACTGTATGTATGAGATTTTCACTTACCGGTATTTTAAAATACTATTTATCTCAGATCTTCATCTTAAATGCACTTCCTGCCCTCTTTTTAACTTATTTTAAAATACCATTTATCTTAGATCTTTATCTTAAATGTACTTCCCGTCCTCCTATTCCAGTACTCTGTGCTGGCATAGAAAAGTAGCAACCACATATATTGTGACAAGCATCCTTATGCGGCCTTTTAGTGTGGAAGAAGAGAGGGAGTGTGTCCGACCATGTAGGTTACATTACAGGGTGCATTGGTTAGTATGGTCAACTGGAATGTGGAGACTATGAAAATGGCGCTTGTTAGTGTAATATCTATCTAACTATATCAAATTCAGTGTTCTCTGTTTCAGTTAGAATTTGAGTAAGGAAGATCTTCAATTCATCCAGTGTCAGAAAAAAATAGTTTAAAGTATTAAACTTAATAGCCATTGCAGAAAAATGTGTATTATTGTTTTTTAGCCTACTAGCCAACTACTTGATTATTGCATGTGATACTTGCAGTTGTCACAAAGCAAGAGAGAGTGCAAAATTTGGAAAAATTCTCCAATTCAGCTCACTTTCCAGTTCAGCTATGTTGTCCTAGATTGTTCACTTCTCTTGTCTTCTCCAAACTCTTCACCCTTTTGTGAATAACCCTGCAGGTGTCCACTACTTCTGTGACACCTTTCTCAGACCATACTGTACCTCTAAACGTGACCATTAAATTTGCTTTAATTTTCGAATTCTAACATTTTCATGACAAAAGAAACACCGTTACGGGTGTGTGTGTCCAGGCTGAGACGCTGGCAGGATCCATCCTGTCAGCGTACGAGTACGGACAACAGCACCAGCACAGACCTGCACTTGGGGTGAGCGTAGGGCGGTGCATGGCCACGTACTCCCATAGAGAAGGACAGGGGCTGCGTACTTATCACATGCAGCACCTGTCCTTCCCTGGATCTGCCCGATACGGCCGTATCGTGTGAATGAGGCCTTAATGTTCACATGTAGTCAGAACTAAAAAAGTGCAGAAAAGGCTGGTGAGACATTCAGCCTACCAGAATATCCAAAAATCGGAATTATTCAGGGGCCATTTACACTATTGTTTGGCATTACATGTTACATGTGTTGCTGTGCCGTGCAATAGGCATTGCACCTGCATTGTAGCACGCCACAATACATGGTAGTGCTTTGGGAAAATTGGTGCATGTCTGATTTTCGGCACGTTAAAGTGCGTTGGCAATCTATTAATTTGCGCATATATACATGCATTATTCTGTATATTCACAGCCTTGTTGAGAAAACAACAACAAAATCGTGTATAATACTCACAGACAAAACCTTTCTGGCTTTCAGGTGCTAGGCACTAAATTAATGCATCTTTCTTAACATGCCTTTTTTTTGTATTCTTTATTTTACACTTTTCATCATATACACAAAGAACAATAAACAACACCCATTTGTTTGATACATTGCTTAATAGCTAATATAATTATAAAATAACAAAATACACAAACAATACCCTTACATACAAAAAACCCCCTCCTAATCTTTCCCTATCACATAACGACCTCTACTCATTTCCCTATCGCATGTATGTTACATATACTGGAGAGGATTGAAAATCAAACCACTGTAGCCACGTCTGTCAAAAGCACTCCTCCCTACCATGTAACAATGAGGTCAGATCTTCCATTGACTTTATATCATGTATCCTTGACAGCCATTGTGCAACTGAAGGAGGACTAATACTCTTCCAAAGCACTGGTATGCGTGCCCTTGCGGCATTAAAAAGATGAATAAGAAGAGAATGTTTCTATTTTTTCAATGATAAACCATTAAGTGTAACAGATAGGCGTCAGGACTATCACTTAAATCAATCCCCGTCATTTTCTAACGTATTTTTTTCACTGAGTTCCATACTGTTCGTATCAGTGGACATTCCCAAAAGATATGCAGTAATGTTCCTTTGTTTTGCCCACACCTCCAACAATATTAGGGCGGTATTAGGGAACATCAACTTAAGATGAACCGAAGTCATATACCATCTTGCCAAGCACTTATAACTTGATTCTTGTGTTTTATTTGAAATGGATGCCTTATGCACTGTGTAGAGTGTATAAGTGTAGAATTCAAACTATTTGATCAGGGGCGAATGAGCGACCTAATTCGCAGTCCCATTGTCTGGTGAAGGGGGGGAGGGGAAGAATCCCCCCATAACACGCCTTTTACCAGATATGTAGGACTTAGTGTTTTGCATAATTTTACCGTACAAGAAAATAAAATACATTAACATAATTTTCAAAGGAATGTATTTGTAAATGTTTAAGTTTTGCTCTTACTGGCATGCCATTTACAGTACACATTATGGCAGTGCCATCTAGTGGAGAAACATCATTTTGCATTCCAGAGAATAAGGCGACAATGCAGACAATACATGCGGTATAAGTGCTTTTGCTATACTTAAGTTACTTCTCCTTAGTCAACAATGAGCACTTGCTCTAAATGCTTAAATCAGTTTGGTGGCTGTGGGGAAACAGATCTATTTCTTAAGGTGCCTATACACTGGGCAAATTGTGGTCGGTTTTTAATGTACCGGCCGAAATTTGCACAGTGTGTGGGACTGTCGGCTCCCTTTCAGCCGGCATTTGTCGATCAGCTGATCGAAGGAGCCGGCTGAAAAATCTTTGTACGATTAGAACCGGCAGCCAATGAGTTGCCCGCTCTGATTGGGTATTCCGACAGGTGCCGGTGCCTATTCCTCGATCGACAAGCTGTTTTTGTTGATGGAGGAATCACGTCAATTGTTTTTGTTCAGCCCGCGGGTTGAAGGAAAAAAAATGTATTAGGTGTATGGCCAGCCTTAGTAAGAACACACTGATATATAAGGTACTTGATGTCCACTTATTAGGCACATCTACCTGTTCATCCAACAAGCCAAAGCAAATAGCATAGCTGTAATTTAATTACACTCGTGAAGAAGATGGGTAATCAAAGCACCTTTGACCGCGGATAAATGCTGGTACCATACACAGTCGCAGCAACTTCTGCTCTGAGATTGGTATACAATACACTGCAAAAGGTTTTGAGATTACGTGATCCCATTCAGTTCTAACTTGAGTTATTAAAGATACACATTTTCAGGATGCCTTAGATCCCTTTGTTAGGCTCTATCCCATTTTGTATAATTGTAAAATGGCTGATGAAGGGATCCAAGGCATCTCGAAAAATTGCATCTTTAAGAAATTAGCCATTGATGAATGCATAAGGTTTGAAGTGATCCCCTTTATAGGCTAACAGTACAATACTGTACTATGCAATACATTAAAGAACTACAGGAAAAAATTGTATTAAACCTTGCAGTGGGGTTACCCCCGGCACTGCAAGAGTTAAGTGCTCCTTTTTGTCTGGGTGTTTAAAAAAACAAAACGTTATACTCACCAGACCACCCCGAGCTGGCTCCCTGCTACTGTGATCACTGAAACGTTTCTCCTCCTCGGCTGCACAGATGGAATACTCCTTGGAGTCCTCAGGTCTATACACAGCCTATGCACAGTGTATAAAACGTGATGACACCAGGATCCTAAAGCTGGCCATATACCTATAGATTTTCTATGGTCAGATAGAAAAAGTGCAACAGATTCCTCCACCTATACTAAAGTGTGTGGATGGAGGAATCTCCCACTGGGCCAAGCTTCAGTATGTTGCTAGTCGGCCCCACTAGCTGTCAAAATACCTGAACAATCTCATTGAATGCAGGCATTGTTCAGGTATTTTGAGAGCCAGCGAGGCCGACTAGCAAGATACTGAAGCTTGGCCCAGTGGGAGATTCCTCCATCCACACAGTTTAGCATAGTTGGAGGAATCTGTTGCACTTTTCCCATCTGGCCATAGAAAATCTGCAGATAATCTATAGGTGTATGGCCAGCTTTAGGACCGCTGCAGGAGAGACGTTCAAGACAAAGATCTATACACCTATAGATTATCTGCAGATTTGCTAAGCTTGGCCCAGTGGGAGATTCCTTCATCCACACAGTTTAGATGGAAAATTCTGTTGCACTTTTTCCACCTGACCACAGAAAAATACTATTTACAACAATGATTTGGAAAATAGCAATTCTGAATACACAACACATCAAGGAGGACAGCAGCAGGACAGCAACCCCTGTTCCCCTCTTTTTCCAGGAAAATAATGCACTGAAAAAAGGGTCACCAAAACTAGTTGGGAAAATGTTGTATGCTGCTGAGATTTGAGGATGGTAGGCTCAAAAATGTTTTGTGTAATGATGATGCTTAGAAGTCACCATGGAGTAAAATCCTTGGACCTTGTTCACACGGACGTCATATGATAGCAGTGTGTACACACTTTTAGAATTTGTACATTTTCATCAAGTTCTGAGCAGCTTTGTTAAAACCTTTAAAGAAAACTTCAGTTATAGGTTGGGTATGTTGAGCATAAATCTGCTTGGAAGTGCTGTCACCTTCCAAAAACTTGAAGTAGTGCCGAAGCCTGCTAGGAGCTCCTTTAAAAGAGACAGTCAGGAGCCACCCTCCAGAAGGAAGGACAGTGACAGCACAAATTCAGAGATGATTTGAGGATCTAAAGCTGAGTGATACACAAATCAGCCACATTTATGTTAGTAGTTAAAGGAGAACTATGGGGTTCTATCTTTTCTTGATTAATGCATTCCTTAGGCTAAATAAGTAAATTATGTAATTTACTCTAATTAGCCAAAATGCACAGTAAGGCTGTAAACCCTTATTTAAGGTGGTGGGCGGAGCTAAGAGAAGATGAAGAGACATCCCGACGTGTCTGACGGGATCCTCCCCACTGATCTTCCTCACTGTGACTGACAGTGATTCTTGAGAGCTGCTGCGCGTCCACGAATATATGGACATGCGCAGCAGCTCTCTCCTTACCTGCACGTCCCCGTGTGCCAGCCGGGCTCCTTCCCCCCCCCCTCTCTCTCTCTCTCTCTCCCTGCCCTGTGTGACACTGACATAATAAAATGATCGTGGATCGCTGATGACAGAGGGGAAGGAGCTCTCTCTCTCTCTTCAGCATTTACTACAAATGGAAAAGTCCATATATGGTAAATGATGTCACTGGAGATCCCTGCAGATCAATGCTTGACAGTCTGCAGGGATCCCCAGAGAGAAAGCTCCTTCCCCTCTGTCATCAGCGATCCACGATCATTTTATTATGTCAGTGTCACACAGGGCAGGGAGAGAGAGAGAGAGAGAGAGGGGAAGAAGCGCGGGGCGGACACGGGGGCGTGCAGGTAAGGAGAGAGCTGCTGCGCGTCCACGAATATATGGACATGCGCAGCAGCTCTCTCAAGAATCACTGTCAGTCACAGTGAGGAAGATCAGTGGGGAGGATCCCGTCAGACACGTCGGGATGTCTCCTCATTGCAGCGCTTAGCCCCGCCCACCACCTTAAATAAGGGTTTACAACCTTACTGTGCATTTTGGCTAATTAGAGTAAATTACATAATTTACTTATTTAGCCTAAGGAATGCATTAATCAAGAAAAGATAGAACCCCATAGTTCTCCTTTAAAAGTACTTGAATGCATTTTTAAGATTTAACACCTGAGTTTAGTATCACTTTAACATTACCAAAGTGGAGCTGAATGGAACTTGCTTTACTTTGCTGTCTCTTACATCAGTACATTTATTACTTTTCCATCTAAGACTACCCTGCCCACAGGGTGACAACACTGCTGAGGGATTTTACTTTAGAACTGCCGTTTTGTTTTTGTTTCAATTGTCTTTTCGACAACTACAAATTTTAGCGGCTGATTGCAAGCAAGTGCATACATTTACAAACAACACCTATGCAAAGATACTGCACCTTTCTGCCACTGTTCTCCCTGGCCACCTCTCCTCACCTGGGCATCTTTCCCCCAGCAATTAAAACACTCTTCTCCCACGCCCCCAGGATAGAACTGTTGCTATCTACATATGGCATTGCAGTTCTTTATGCTTAATTTTTGCCGGATTCACTTGGATTTTTCTATTGGGATTAGCTGAAAGGGGTCCTTCTAAAAATGCAAAACACACATTCAGTCATACTTTCTGGTGCAAATAATCCCTAGTCTATATCATATAAATATCATCTATTATGAATCTGCTATAAAAACACTACACACACACGGAAAAAAAAAATATCTAATGTGAATGAGACAACATAGGTTGGACCATTAACAACACAACTGATCCACAGATTTATATCAGCTTGCAAGCAGACCAGATGTTTTAAGAAATAGAGTATGCGCTCATTTTAAAAGCCCTGCATAACCTAATTTACACTGGCTTTCTTTTTTTCTATCTTGTTGTGGCATGATCTGCTTGCTACTGTGAATATCTTCCACAGCATGCCATTCATCTGGTAAAGACATCACAATTCATTTGCTGTTCAAAATAGGAAAAAAAAAATCTCATTAACAAAAGCGGTATGTTAAAAAAGGTAATAGTTATTCAGTCTCTCTCTCCCACCACCTCATTTTCCACTGTAATCTAAATCCAAATACTGCTGAGAAATCTACCTTACCTCATGTATGTATCCTCTCCATTTTATATTGCAAGGTTTGGTTGAGCACCGTTTCTGTGATTAGTGTGTGTTACAATGCATGTACTTGGTTTGTGTGGAATCTGTGAGTGCTATATAATCAAAAGCAATAATAATGGTTGAAGTGGCATCACTGATAGAGGAGCGCTGTCTCTAATTAAAAGGATGCATTTGTTGTTAAACTGAACCTGTGCTCAGTCAATGTACACTAAAATTTTTACATATTCTGGACCAGCACAAAAAGCACATTAAAACAAACCCTCATTCACCTCTGTAGCTACAGGCACTGTGGAGAAATCCATCCACAATTCCCAGAGGCACTCATCTTACCTCCTTTCCTATTACTTTCTATTGCATCAGAATCTTGGCACCCTGCCAGCCTTCTAATATAAACAAACAGATGTCTGAAACCTGACTTTAGAGCCTTTGAAGTCCTCTTTCAGATTACAAGCAGCTAAAGAGATCGGGGATTTATTTTTCTAAAAGCTTGTTAAAAATTTGAAAATACTTTAATGTCCAAAGACTGGGCATGGTGTACCTTAAAATGTATGTAAAGAGAAACCTATTTTTTTTACGTTTTAGATAGAGACGGGATTAGAATCTTCATCAGGTTTTTATTGATGTCTGTGCCCCCGTATGGGAAAATTATCTATTAGTATGATGACCACTATCACTGAAACAGAAAGTGAGGGGAAATCCAACATTTTAGAGCTAAAAGGTAAAAAGGAAAAACTTTCCATTGGGGACACCAGTTCCGGGGACAACTGTCAAAGAGGGGAATTTCCCTCATTTGGGGAGATTTCCTGTAACTTCCTGTTGCGTCTCTGGGACCGAAAGTAAAGGGAAATCCTCCTAATGGTACTCAAAACAGCAAAAAATAACCCGATAGGGCTTTTAAACCTTTCCTATTAAATCTGTGCCCCCCCTCCCCCATTGTAGACAGTGTGGATGCAGAATGTAAAAGGAAATAAGTAGGGATCTCACTTAAAGCTCTCTTTACTGTTAAAGGAGAACTATGAGATGGGTGATTTTCACTCAACCTTATAATTCGAGCCGACGTGCGACAATGAAACTGTCACAGGTCGGCTCAATAGATCGGGAAGTGAGTGAACACATACCGTCGCTCGCTCACTTCTCGATCATCTCCCTGCAGAGAGCCGTGTCTGTCACTCACGGCTCCCTGCAGGGATTTCCCCTCTCCGATCCCCTAGCTCCGACTGGTGGAACGGACGGGGGAGGGTACAGCTGGCTCTGCCTCTGAATAGGCAGAGCCAGCTGTCACTCACGCAGGTGGGTGGATCTCAACAGTAATGTCGGGATTCGTCCAGGCCGCGGCAGTCTCAGTATTCCGCGAGCTGTAGCTCGCTATATACGGAGCTTTGGGTCACGGGAGGAGGTTAGTATATGTCCTCCCGTTACCCTTAGGAGAACTATGGGGAAAAAAAAACTTACCCCATAGTTCTCCTTTAATAAAATGTATCCCAATCTTGCTCATCTTGAAAAGGAGGCTAGAAAATAGAGAAATAGGTACATTAAACATTTTGCTTTCATTTACCAGTGGTATCAGCTACATCCACTATCCCCTTGTCTAAAATAGTTAACCTTGTGGGATAGGAGCTGAGATCTATAGAAGCAAAAACCTTGAACAATAAAAAAATGCAGGGCTGACACCTTTCTTTCAATCTGCTCACCATGGATCAGCAAAATTCTATTAGCGTGAATAAGATATGTATGTTCTTGACGTCCGGATCTCCAGCCCTATTAGCCCACTTCCTTTCCCAATGCACTCAAAGTTCTTAGTTCCACTACTTCAACACACCCCATATCATGAACAGAACCATTTCCAAATCCCAGTATTTCGTCTTCCCTCTTAACATAATGGGGTAAACACACATTTATTTTACCTATAACTATGCCCACATTAAAATGTAATGGACCATTGTACATTTTCTTTTGCACCTTAGGAAGATGGTCTTTTTTGTATTTAAAATGAAAAAACGGTTTTAAATTCGTTTTTGTTCCTGTTCATTCTCGGGTAAGTGAATTCTCTCTCAGGTCTACTTTTAGGAAACAGAAGTAAATAACATTTAGTTTTAGCAATACTTCATAAAATAAGGATCTTGTGCAGAACCCCCCCCCTGAAAAAAAACAAAACAAAAAAAACTCAAGTAATATTATTTTACTTTTAAAGAAATCACAATCTATCACATTTACATTGAAAACACAACAATTTTATAGGAAATGATGCATTTTTTTTTTTTAAAAAGTCATAGAAAACACAAATTGTTCCACATGTTAGGCTTTTCCTTTTTCCTAAGTGTTTTTTAGTGTGTTAAATGACAATTGTACAGTCTCCAGGCTCTGTAATTTCTACATAAACTTTCTTCATTAGGAGTTATGAGGCAGGCTGTGACTTGTCAGTCTCACCTGAATGTTTCAATTGATCAATTATTGATGCAACACTTGAGCTTGACCGTGGCTGGCTTTGTGGCGCAGGAGATGGTGGATTTGACACCTGCCAAGGATAAAAAGTTGTAAAAGAAATTTTTTTAAAGTGAATAAAAAGGAGCTTTGAAAACATTTTTCTTTTTACCATTTATGCTACAAGGCAATTATGAGTAATTTGCTCCAGTGATAGGCACATGTGGGCTTCCCATTGTTTTTTAATACAATCAAGTAAGATCATGGCTTTGTTAGGCCCTCAGCTGTATTAAGTTTAGTAAGGGCCAAAAGTTTTGCTGGTAATGTCAAAGTCCCCATAATGGATTACTTAAATAAAAAGGTCCAGACACTTATTTCTTCTAAATTTCATCATTTAAAAATACTATGAATACTGTTGAAGGAAAAGATTTGATGAATCTTGTGCAATAAGACTGCACTTCCTGGCACAGATTTAAATCAGGGATTCCCCCTATCCCGGCAAACCACCACATTTACTACCTTGCCACACACATTCAATGCACTGCAAAATAGGAATATAGACTTAATTTCCATTTTTATTTTTGGGTTCTTTACCCTCTTCACCTGCCAAAGATTTAGAGACCATAAACAAAGTGCACATTTCATTCAGACATTAAATCGTTAACTAACTTTCTCAGAAATGGTAAAAGCGAAACACCCATTTTTCCCATGGCTAATGTGCAGTTTAGCTAAATTTAAAAGAGAACTATGGGGTGTTTTTCCCCATAGTTCTCTTAAGGGTCATGGGAGGACATATACTAGCATCCTCCTGTGACCCAAAGCTCAGTATATCGCTGCAGCTCGCGGTATACCAAGACCGTCGCAGCCGGGACGGATCCCGACAATGCTGTCGAGATCCACCCAGCTGCATGAATGACCGCTGGCTCTGCCTATCTAGAGGCTGCAGGTACCAGCTGTACCTGCCCCTCCCCCGTCCGTTCCCCCAGTCAGCGCTGGAGGATCGGAGCGGGGAATCCCCGCAGGGAGCCGTGACTGACAGTCACGGCTCTCTGCAGGGAGATGATTGAGAAGTGAGCGAGCGACTGTATGTGTTTGCTCACTTCCCGATCTATTGAGCCGACGTGTGACAGTTTCATTGTCACACGTCGGCTCGAACAATGAGGTTGAGTGATTTTCACTCACCTCATACTTCTCCTTTAACAGATAAAACAGTCACAGGCTTAGAACTGGAATGATCAGAAATGTGTAGTCAAAAGATTATTGTGGTTTTGAGCACATAAGAACATGTTCAAAGATACAAAGCAAATGTTGCTTCAAACAAATGCCACATAGTCTCTCACAAAGTGAAAGTCTTGCAACTCTAAAATCCCAAAATCTCAAAAGTATGTTATTGATCTGAAAGACAAAATTTAGAGATTTGAATGTGCCTAGACTTGCCTGCTTTCTACAGCATGCTGGAAGTGATATTGCATTCAAGTAAAACAACAGAATGGAAAAAAGGTTGGAAGCTGGGCTCAAATGTTGTACTTCGTCCTATGTATATAATAAATATATTTCAGTGCATTTAAAAACAGAGGTTGTAACTGATAAGACCACCTCTATACAGGGCTTTATGAGATCTATTTAGGCCCTCACTTACCTAATCAAAACATTTCAAAAAGCATTAACATGACTACAGTTGCAAAATTGTATCCAGCTTTATGGACTATAGAACAGCCTGGGACCTCATACAATAAATATTTTTAAAGAAGAACCCTCACAACCATGTTTAACCTCCTGCCGTCTGCCTGTTGAGAAAAAACGGACAGACGGCAGACTCACATCCGCGGGCATTTTTTTCCTGCACACGGACAGGAGAAAAAAAGCCACATATACTTTACAGCCGTTACCGGCTGTTTCACATACAACCGATCAGCGGCTCTACAGCCGCCGATCGGTTGTATGGTGTGATTTGTTCGCCCCCCCCCCCCCCCCCCCCGCCCCCCACCCCCCCGCGCACGGCCCGGGACTGGCTCGGGAGGGCGTTAGGAGGTAAGATGGGAGGGAGATCAGCATCTTCCTCCTTGCTGAACTCCCTCCAAGGTCTGTATTACATCACTTCCGCATTCACCTGTCAGTCCTCTGGCTGCTATAGCCAGAGAGAAGAAGCTGATGAAGCAGATCTCTGCTTCATCAGCTTCCTTTGGGATCCCAGGTGACATTAGGGGTCCTAGAGACTCCTAATGCCTCCATAAAGGAGGACCTGTCAGTGTGCCTTTGCTATTATATAGGAGGGTTGTTATCCCCCTGTGTAATAGCAATAACAATAAGTTATAAGTTAAGAAAAAAAATATATGTACATAAAAAAGTTAAAAAAAAATAAGTCACATATAAAAAAAGTTAAAAAACAAAACAAAATGTTTAAGTTCCCCACCCCCACAATTACGCACATATAAACGTACATATGCATCAGATGCGTCAGCGCGCGAAAACAACAATTGTGCTACACGTTATATATCTTTGCGAACGTTGAATTCTAGCCATCAATCACTGATAACACTAAACTGATGAGCAGTAAAAGCTTTTAAAGCGTCGCCTATGGCCAATTTTGGGTATAGTAGTTTTCTGAGGTTTCGCACGTGCGCGCAATTTTAAGGCTTGACATGTTTGGTGTCTTTTTACCCGACGTGACCCCACCTTTTTTATTTTACCAAAAAATTGGGTAATAATAAATGTTGTATAATGTAATATATGGGAAACGTTTCTTTTTTAAAAACATTTCTGTAATTTTTCCTTAATATAGTAAAAAATAAAAACCCGTAGTGGTGATTAAATATCACCAAAAGAAAAAACTCTGTCCCCAAAAAAGGGTATAAAATTCACTTCAGTACAGCGTCGCATGACGGAATAAATGTCAGTCAAAGTACTGCAGCGCTGAATACTGAAAAATGGCCTGGACAGGAAGAGGGTTTAACACCGCGGACTTCAAGTGGTTAAACTTTTATCTAATCCCCATGGGATTAAGTACATATAGTTGTTATTGTTCACTGCTAGCTGCACTTCCTAGAGTCCTAAATTGGATTCGGTGTGCAGATGGGGTAGGCTCTGCATTAACTCTCTTTCTCATCCAGATGAACCCGGCTCTGTAATAGTTGTATGCTTCACATACAGGTGAAACTCGAAAAATTAGAATATCGTGCAAAAGTTAATTTATTTCACTAATGCAACTTAAAAGGTGAAACTAATATATGAGATAGACTCATTACATGCAAAGCAAGATAGTTCAAGCCGTGATTTGTCATAATTGTGATGATTATGGCTTACAGCTCATGAAAACCCAGATCCACAATTTCAGAAAATTTTTGGCAGTGTGGGCAGGTGCCAAGTCCTGCTGGAAAATGAAGTCAGCATCCCCACAGAGCTCGTCTGCGGAAGAAAGCATGAAGTGCTCCAAAATCTCCAGGTAGACGGCTAAGTTGCATTAGTGAAATAAATGAACTTTTGCACAATATTCTAATTTTCCGAGTTTCACCTGTATAACACAACAGTTGACACCTCATGAAGCCTGGAGGTGCTGTTAAAGAAAGTTGGTCTTCTGGGAACGTAGGCATCTGCAGAAAGAAAGTGTGTCTGTTGCAATGCCCTTCAATGAAAGTTCAGAGACACAAGTGGGGAGGGGAAGAGGGGAAATTTATAGTGCAACAGTTTGTCTCTTTAAGGACCAGAGGCAGAAGAAGATGGCACAGAAACGGGTGACTCTGGAGTCCTGCTTTAAACAGGGATTATTTCTATATTCATTTCAAGTGCGTCTCTCACTGGTACTATTATTGAGTGTTACCCATTCGCTGCAAAAGGAGAAATGTGAATATTACATGCTTAGCGTTATCTAGTTTGGTTCTAATTTTTGTTATCAAAAGCAACACACTTACCGCTGATACTCCTGGCCTTCTTAAAGTGATACCTTCTACGAGTAGAGCCTTTCCAGTCTCTTCAAACAACTTCTTTTCACCTACTACTCCAGATTTTTGAAGTTCTAAATATTTCTCTACAAATCTGAAACAGACAGGAGACAGCATGTAACACAATGGCTACAGACAGTGTTATGAGCTCTCCAAGTAAACATATGTGTAACTATATAGGCTATGGAGTGACAATCATTTGCTCATTACATCTATATGAAAAAAAAGGCACAATTAAACCAATTACCTTAAGAAAACAGATTTATTAACAAAACACCTCAGCCTTCCTGTCAAGGCGTCTTGATTTTATTTTCCAAATGCAGGTACTCTACTCTAAACGGCTATCATTTTGTTTATTTTGAGCAACATGGCTTAGTTAGGTAGACATTGGCAAAATGTTTTGTGGAAAAAAGGTATAGCGTTTATACTGCTTTTTTAATAAGTGTGCTTTGCTCACTACAATATTGATTTTAAAACAAAAAGTGCCATTGTCCTTTAAGATCTTTCATTCATTTCAGCATCTGTTTCAGAATGTTCAGAAAGTCACGTTACCAGAACTGTATATCATATTAAGCAAGTATGCAGAGCAAAGATGCAGGTGAGACCGAGTAGATGTCATACTGAGTGCAGAATGATGATTTCATTATGTGGACCACAAGGAAGTCATCAAGAATGTACATGTGGAACATTGTACCTGTGCTGGACCAAACTACAATAATAATAGTACAATTAAATTGGCTAAACACATTAAAAGGAGAACTATGGGGTTAAGTCTTTCCCCCATAGTTCTCATTAGGGTAACATGCTGCATTCAAATTAATATATAATCTTACCTCTGGCATATAGATTTGCGTTCCTTTCCATACAAATAAATCATTCCAGGGCTACCATAAGTGTCATAAAATTTGCTGAGGAGAGAAAATTGAGAATATGTTAGAAAAAAGAGAAAAAGCAATAGTAAAAGTGAATTGCAAGCAGTTATTATTACATTTAAAATGAGTGACAAGTTCACTTTTAAAGCCCATCTCCAGCATTTTGGTTTTTATAAATAGCCGCCCTGTAAGGGTTAAAGTGAGCTGAAATGCTGACTTCTTCTCCGGCGATGTCCCCCACAGACTCAATGCTCCTGTTATCCAGCGCCGGATCTCTTTCAGGTTTAATGACAAGGACCCACTTAGACTGACGGGAGAATGCATTGAAGTAGAGAATGACAAGATGTGCTTACATGGTGCCCCCCTCTGCAACATTTAGAACTCAATCCACCACCGGTGGATGAAGAGTTGGAAAAGGACCCATAAAGAAAACACAACTGTACTGAAGACATCTGGAAAAAGAAATGCAAGAACCAAAAAAAGAATGTCTGGGGATGGGGTGCTGGAGTGGGGCTTCACGTCTTAGACTTGCCCTACAATACCATCTATGTTTACCTACAGTATAATAAACTCTGATCATTGTAAAGAAAGCGGACAGTTCAAAGACTCACGCTTTTATGACATCTTCTCGGTAAAAAATTGCTGGCACATTGTCAACAGGCTTCAGCCGACGTTTTGGCGGACTCACGTAGGTGGGTTCCCTTTTAGGTGGAAAGGCAGCATACACATCAAACCAGATTGGCTTCTCATTTTGCTTTTTCACTCCTGCACGGATCAAATCTCGTGTTCTACAAAATGGACAACATTAGAACAGTTACCAATTCTTAAAACTGGTAAGAGAGTGCAGAATTTTTTCTCTTAATTGAGAAAAATTCAAAAACATATCCAAAACACTGCTACAAATGCAATCAGGCACATTCAGTAAGGCAAAAGGTAATGAACAAACATACAGCAATCAATATCAACTAAATGTATTTTTTCAGACTCTAGAAAAAAACAACTAATAAACTGTTATGGGCTACTACAGTTTGAATTTTGCTTTTTGAACCTCACTATGGAATACCATAGAGTGCAGATACCTATCCTGCCTATGAACAGCACAAAAGATTTAAAAAAAAAGCTGAATGCAGAACATACATTCGCATCATTCACAGAGGGGAAGAAGGGATATGCCAAAAGAAATAATGTTCTCTTGCTCAGGGCTATTTTCCATGACATTTTCCCACAATCATATAACTCAGGGCTCAAAATGTCAAGTCCTGAGCTACTAGCCAGGCCTTAAGAGTTACTTGCCAAAGGCCGAAAAGGAACGGAGTCAGGACAGCAAGGAGCGGCTGCTTTCATAAGTCAGGTATGCAATCCGTGACCGCGTGCCTGACTGAATTTCCACTCACCCTCTCTTTATTTCCACTCGCCAAAAGCGAGCGGGCGAGTGGAAATTTTGAGCCCTGATGTAACTTATCGGTAAACACGACTTCCTTTTTTGATCGAAAGGAGTCTGTCAGCTTACACATAAGCAGGGGTACTTGTTTAGCCCACTAACAGATTGCAAGTTTCAGAATCATGGTGTACGGTTTCCTGACCAGCAGCCTATACCTTAATTTGTTGTGGTAGCACATCGGCACAGGTACCTATCAACAGTATGAATGGAAATTTTGCAGCTCCCACCATTGTTTCCAAATCCACAGCACCCCCTATACAAAATGCTTTAACTCTTCATGTGTACCCCCACCTGACCAAGTTCCTGGTGTGAGTCCATAACATTGTTTTTTTTTGCTATGCAGCCCAAGCAGACATAACCTACCACCAAAGAGGTGTGTGCTATGCCCTGGTGGCTGCTATTTATTGTAGAAATCCTTCCACAAATGCCGCCAGGTTCAGTGCTGATCTGTGGAATAACAGCATGCACCGCCAGGCTGAAGAATTTTCATAGAAGTTGTATTAACTTTTCCCACAATGCAAAGCAACATTGGAGGTGGTGGTCCCTGTCATTTATCCACCTGTCCTACAATAACAGGTTGCTTTGTGACATGGGATGTAAACAATCCCTTGAGGCTACAAGCATCAGATCTCCGTAAGTATACATCTGTGGAGGGGGAATTTATTAGA